GGTTAGACCGACATACCCGATCGGGTATGCCTTTGAGTTTTAAACGAAGATCGGTCGAGTATGGCTCGAATACCATTTTCTAAGCATACTCGACCGGGTATAAACATATACCCGATCGGGTATACCTGTGGAAAATAGCCTGAAACCGATCGAGTATACCTCGAATCGAGTATTACACACATACTCGATCGGGTACCATGTATATACCCGATCGAGTACCCGAATCCCATCCCAAAAGCCTATAAATACACCTCCTTTCCTTCACAAAAAGATATCCAATTCCTTTGTACATCTAAGCTCAGTATAGAATAGTTCTTTCTTTATATTTTTCATCATGTTTAGTCTCCAAATGAGGAGCTAAACTCTTCCATCTTGGTTTTGCTACTTTGAAGCTTAATGAATTTGTAAGTTGTGAGTTATTTTCTTTAATCTTCTTCCTTGAATATTAATTAATTCCTATTCATATTTCATATTAATATTTTAAACATTACATAAAGTATCAACTAGTTTTGTTTCTCATATTAATTATTACTAGAATCAATCGGTTAATACGCTTGTTATTAATCCGGTTCTTTCAACGGTAGTAAACTTGGAATATTAATGCATGCATCTCATGGTTAATATGTCAAGGGGAATTAATTATATTGATTAAACCAATAAACCGCTTGTGTTGAGGTTATCAATCTCAATCGTTTTCATCTTAAGTTTATTGCTACTATCAAGTTAATATACGGCGCTTGTTCTATATTGACTCGATAGTAAGATTTATTAATGAACGCATCTCGTTATTAATAACTACCCTCGATGAACTGGATATACTCCTCGATTGAGTATTCGAGAGGAAGATAGTTAAAGATATAACCGGGATCGGCGAGCAATTCATTAAGTGGATAAAAGCAAAACCAAGTCCTCATCTCATTAAATTAAACTCATATAGGTTGTTTATCTTAGTGTTTTTAAAGCAAACAAATCTAAACCCCCCTTTGTTACTACTTGTATAAAAGAAAAGTATTCCTTTCCCTGTGGATACGAACCTTACTTCGTTATACTACGTATATTCGTTGTATTGTATTTATTTTGAGTGCACCTCACGACAAGTGCACGTCAATCGCACAAGAAGAGTGGCCTTGGCCTGGGGGTATTTATAGGCATCCCACTCCGGGCTTGGGCCAAGAAACTGGGCCCCCGATGGAAAGTCATCATTACACGCCGCCCCCTTCCGCCAACCGGTGATACCCGCCCGAAGCTAGCCAACAACTACATGCCACGTGGACATCACCTCCAATGGCTATATTTTCGACGTTCCTTATTCCAACGGTCTTATCACAATGGCTATATTTTGGAAACACATAGGTGCTCCCGGCCAGTACCCCTCATACAACATTACACTTGCATTCGGGATTTCTCCTTCAGCACCCGTCGCACAACAAATTGGGGCTGGCCCTCGGTCCATTACATTCAAACACCCCCATGTCATATGGGCCCCCGGGTAACACCAGGAAGACCCCTCGATTACCCTTAGCCCATTACATTTGAATCGACAGGGGACCCCTTGGGTACCCTTACACCCCAATTAGAGAAACCGGGAACACCCCCCGGGGTCACACCTTCAAACTCCTCACCCGTGGTTAGCCTCCGGCATACAAAAGCGGGAGCCTTCAACCCCCAGTTTATCAAACGACTAAGAAACCCCCTCGGCACAAAGGAACCATCACTTGCGTCAACACGCCCTCATCCTCCCTGATTCAGGAACTCCCCTCGGCACCTCCGGGATATTAATAGTCAGCCTTTGGTTAACTCCTATAAGAAGGCCCTCAACTCACGGGCACCCCTCGACATCAATATTATCTTTCATCTTAGACCAAGGGTGACCCTTTCGAGTCATCATTGGGGGAATTCGGTGCACTCTTTTTTCCTCATTAGGATTTTTTCCCACATGGTTTTTCCTAATGAGGTTTTTAACGAGGCATCCCCCCAAAACGAAACGAAAAGCGTCACCCCTCGGCCCATATTACAGACAGGCACTACTCTACTCCTTTTCACCACTTTACAAGTGCCTCAAGGAGTCGGGGACCGGAGGACCCCTCCGGGAAAAATCAAAAAAATGCCAAATATTATTCTCACAAAAGCATCAACATCCTTCAGTCCCAAAATGCGGGGGACTGAAGGACTGACCCCGTTGAGGTGACCCCTCGACCACCAGAATGATGACACGTGTCCCTATCTAGCATTTATTGCTGCTATAAATAGCACCCCTTTCCCCATTTGTAAACCACGCTCAATACGCTGAATACGCTCATTATCAATATATACTCTCTCTCTACTTTTGCTCTGACTTCTCTCTAGTTACTCCCCGCAATAACCCCTCTGATAGATACCCCCCGGGTACATTTATCCATCACTATCATTTGTGGGAGAAAAAGCTTTTGATCTTTCACGTGCAAAGATAGAGAGCACTGCCATCATCATGAATGGGCTTTGTCTTGCAAACGTTGCACCTGCTGAAAATAAAAATGTCATTAGTTTTAACAGTGTCATTTTCATAATGATGATTGACATTCTTATGACATTGTCATTGACATTCTGATGGCATTGTCATTGACATTCTGATAACATTGTCATTGACATTGTCGTCATTTTAATGTTATTTTTATAACATTGACACCATTACTATACGAAATTGGCTTTGTCTTGCAAATAAAGTGTAAAGTGATGAATGTGAATTGGCTTTGTCTTGCAAAAGTTGCACCTGCTGAAAATAAAAATGTCATTAGTTTTAACAATTTCATTTTCATAATGATGATTGACATTCTTATGATATTGTCATTAACATTCTGATGGCATTGCCATTGACATTCTAATGACATTGTCATTGACATTCTAATGACATTGTCATTGACATTGTCATCATTTTAATGTCATTTTTATAACATTGACACCATTACTATACGAAATTGTGACATTTTTTATCATTTTGACGTTTTAAATGTAATAATGTATTATAATATATTATAATATCAGGAAAAATGAAACAATGTCAAATAATGACAATTACAATGTCAACATCAACACTTGTACAAAATGACATTGCAAAAATGACAATGTCAATGATTTAAAAAATGAAATTGTGATAATGACAATGTCAATTTCAATGCTGCAAAAACAACATTGTGATGACATTGTCGAGAAGTAACATTGTTTTCGATAATGCCATTGAGATATGTGACTATGTCATATTATTTTAAAAGAATCAATGTTGGAAACTATCAAAATGTCATAAAATTATTATAATATCAAAGAATGAAACTGTCAATGCTATAAAAATGACATTGTAATATGACAATGTCAATGCAACTAACAAAAACATTTTATTAATAACATTGTCAATGTTGAAATCAATGAGCCAATGACTATCATAACATTGTAATGGATGACTGATTCCCTAGAAGCAGATTCGATAAAATATACAATAAGGCCAGTTTGACACCATCATCTGGATGTGTTGTACTGTCCTCTCGATAAAAGATACAATAAGCAGATTCTTTAATAGTAATTTTATTCGCCATTGCTTTTTACATTATGACATTGGTACTGTTATTGTCAAATTTTTTCACATTTTTAGATATTCTGTAAGATAGTGGCCAAATCATGAAAGGTCAAATTTGCTTGGACCATACGGATATCTTTTTAGAAAAGGCAGGTGGAGATGGGGGTCGCAGCGGAGCGAGGATGGGCATACAAGCCAGCTTCCGATGGGAGATCGTCTGCGCCCCTAAATGTATTTGTCCTGACCTTCAAACCTCCATTAATGGCAGAAATCAAGGATTCTCCGCTGGAAAATCTTCCAAGTCTCGTCGACGGATGTTGAGGCCTGAGCTACTACTTACCGCGCAGAGGAGTGAACACCGGTTGGCAGCCGGCGACGGGCGACGGTGCCGCGTTCCAGGCGGAGGGAGTCCAGCTTCGAGCAATGAACGACGATGCTGTACGGAGGTGGAGGTCAAAGCGAGCTGTTGGTGTCTTTGTTCGTCGGGATCTGGTCTCCCCTACCGCCTCTTTCTTTTAAATCCGCGATTGCAATTTAGGAATTGGGGTTATTTTTGTCCGTTCAGTCAAAAATAGGTCTTATTTAGGGTTTAAAAACTTAGAGGTCTTATCCGCATACAAAGCCTATGTTTTAGTCCTATTAGAGTCTTTTTCCCGTGTTCTGCAGCCATCGTTGCCAATCAAGAATTTCAAGAAAAAAGTACGTGACGGTCTACGAGGGTGGAACTTGAGAACAAAAGACGAGGGTAACATAGGAAATTAGGGATTAAAAATTGCTCTCCTAAAATACCCTCCCAAAAGCAATCTGGTTCTATCTGGACAGGGATCAGTTAACTTTATAACCAGCCAAACATCACATCAGTCTTATTTTCAAAACAAAACATGAGTACTCCTATTTATGTATTTTGATTGTATTTTAATCCTATTTAATTTAGAGAAATTTCCTAAAAAATGTATTTTAGTGTAAAAAATTATGTGTATATTTTTTTGAAAAACTCTTTGTACTTGCTAACTCTAACTTTTTGCTTCTGCCTATGCCTTACTTATAAGTTATAATTGATCAATATTTAGCATAAATATGCCACTATATGCTGTTCTTAGTTTGTATGCTCAAGGTGATTCATGTATGTTTATTTATGAAACAATCTTTTATATTATATTTTTCCCGCTAAATCAATTAATTATCCTGAGATTTCATCGATCAAGAACTAATAAACAGCAGTAATAATCAAAGTAAGAGTATAAAATTAATGGAGTATGATATTTGAAATCTATTAACCGTTGAGACTTTGAGTTATTAAAGATCGAGAACCGGTTAACCAATAGTTATATTATACTCCGTAACTTAATTATACATCCATTAATTGAAGATTATCAATTAATACAAGGCCAGAAATATATATCATATCCGAAAATCTAATTTCCAAAAGATCGAAAGTGGTACTTCCATGCCACAAATTAATCACTTTAGCCAATAAATTAAGTACAAAAAATGACTATCTATCTCAAGCCATCAAAATGGTAAAAAAAAACAAGAACAACAAAAATGGAAATCCTAATTAAGAGTAATTTCAAAATTGAAAACAAAGGGTAGCTAGGGGATCAAAAATCTGGAAGGTCTTTCATGCTCTCCAATGAAGAAATGGAACTTCTCATCAGCAGCAATGAATCCACGTAGTTACTGTACGACGATGGGCACAGGAAATCCATGGAGGTAGGATGGAAATAATCCATATTATTATTATTATTATTATTCATGTATTCATTATTATCAAAACTATTGTTACTGTTATTGTTTTGCGGCTCAAAAACATAACTCGCGCTACAGCTTCCTTCTTTTTCGTCCGTCACAACTGACGTGGAGTCATTATCTTCACTCATCAACCCTATTTTCGCCATCATCTCAACATTATTATTATCATTATAATTTTTATTACTATTAGTATAATTATAATAATTATAATTATTATTATTACTATTATTATTATTACTCTCACTATTGTTATTAATTGTTCCATTAACTATATAATGATCGCAAGGCTCAGGCTTAGGGTGGTGATGGAGAGGAGGCGGCGGCGGAGGCGGAGGAGGAGCAGGACGGGAAGTGCGGCGGTCGGCTGCAGCGAGGGCCGGCGAGCGGGAAAGGCCGGTGAGCTTTTGAACCAACGCCTTGAAATCTTTAGGGTGAGTGTGGATTACCTTTGGGGAGTGGGTGTAGATGATGACCGGTTGACGCGGTAGTGGTCTGGCTGCGGGGGTAGCGTTGGCCGCCACGCCACTTATGATCGACGAGGAGGCCGATGAAGACGGAGGAGATTTCTTGATGACATGAGAATCACCGCTGATCTTCAATGCATGGTTGTTGGGCATTGTATGGGGATTGAGATCTCTCACCATCATCATCATCTTCTTCCCATGCTGATTGTTGTTATCGTGATCACCCCCATCTTGAATTGGAACTTGAACTTCATGGCTCATGATAACAATTATCACTTGGGTTGCTGTTTTCTTTTTAATCTGGAGATAAGAGTATGTATATATGGGGATATATGAATAGATTCATACACACCATGTAAGTGTGAGAAGTTGGAATGTGTGTGGTGTGGAGGAGTCTAAGCCAATTGAGTAGTGAATTAGGTAAATGTGCATGTGTATTTATAGAAGCCAGAAGAGAAGAAATAGCAAATGAGTTAATTTAAGACTCCCTTTGGTTATAGGAAAATATATAAATCGGGATGAAGCCAGAACAATGGATCGGACTGAGCCGATACTAAGAATATTTTTTGAAAAATTTCTAGACAAAATTTTTTACATTAAAAATATACATATTATAAATTTGGGGTGGATCAAGGCCTAGATTCCCCCTAGCTACGCCCTTTTAACAACATTCCTTCACCAGTGTGTGTGTGTGTGTGTATAGAGGCCTATTCGTGTCAGAAGCTCCTGAGCGAAACCGTCGTGCTGAATTCGCCGCTGGAAGTGGTTCCCGGTTGAATTTTGATGAAACTTGTGAGAATGTTTTTCAGGAAGTGTAGATTATTATGTCCACAAAATTTTTAGCTTGAAATTTTAACTGGGAAGTCAGTTAAATAAATTATTGAAAAACACTATGTTGTTTACCTATATACAAAGAGTAGTTCTTTTCAATAATTTATTTAACTGCCTTCCCGATTGAATTTCAAACTGAAATTTTATGGACATAATAATCTACACTTCATAAATAACATTCTCACATATTTTCACCAAAACATTCCACTAGGAACCGCCTCAAATGAAGAATTTTGATCCGCACGACAGTTTCGATTACGAGCTGATCCTCATAGTATATATATATATATATATATATATATATATATAAGAACATGATCTTAGGAGAGAAATGATAATGAATCTGGACCGTTAGATTTTCTTTAAGTGAAATTCAATGTGCATTAGATAAATCTCTAATGTGCATTAGGTGAAATTGAAATGTGCAGCACAAATGGTACGATAGAGTGACATTATGTGAATGCAGCACAAATGGTACGATAGAGTGGCATTATGTGAAGTTGAAATGTGCACTAGATGAAACTGAAATGTGCAGAATAAAAGGTACGATCTGATGTTATTTTTGTACCTTTTATTCCTCACATTTCATTTTCACCTCATGCACACTTAGTTTAAATTTGTATTCTGCACATTTCAATATCATCTGATACACATTTCAGTTTTACCAAATGCACAATCCAGTTCTACATAATACAATTCAACGGTCGAGATTCGTTCTTTATTCTCTCCTGGGAGTCCGTTCTTACCGGAACCTCTCCCTATATATATATATATATATATATATATATATATATATATATATATATATATGTATGTATGTATGTATGTATGTATGTATGTATGTATGTATGTATGTATGTATGTATGTATGTATGTATGTATGTATGTATGTATGTATGTATGTATGTATATATATATAGAATAGAGATGAAATACAAACTAGTCTTACCTTACTAACCTACAAACTAATCTCAACCATACGTTTAATCAAGATTACCGTTCGTTTCTATGTTAATGGCTCACAACCAACTAATTAACATTGAGGGCGGTTTTGTCAATTACTCCACTTTTATAATGGAACAAAAATCAGGTTCGTTAATTTCCTTTCTCATAACCGCCTACTTTCCTTTATTCTTTCATTCCATCTTTCCCATCGATCATGGATTCCATCTCTGCGCTTGTCTTCTTCATCGATATTGCGACCTGCTGCAGTTAATTCGATGTATGATCATTATCATCGAGCGCCATGGAATCAGGTATTCGTATATCTTTCATGAAATCTGTTTTATACACACACAATAATTTCAGAGGTTGATCGTGTGTTTTTGTAAGTTTGTTCTGGTCTTGCAATTTTTATTTTTTTTGATTTGTATTAGAGGTTGATGTTATTATGTATCTTCTCACAACCGAATTTCATAATTAAATGTTCCTAATGTTACCTTCCTTCAATTCGTAGGTATGTTTTCTTTGTGTAGTATATTGTATATGAATTATGAACGATTCCAAACTGCAGCTTCAATAATGTAAACAGATTAAATACTTAATTTAATGTTTGTTGAAATATCTCTTTGTGTTAGAGGTTTGTCTTCTGCAGGTTAAAATATGTATTATGCATTTGTTTGTGTTGTATGGTGCATTTAGTGAATTACTGTTTTTATTGTTGTTTACTATTAGTTTTTGTTCATGTCTAATATTAGAGATCATTTGTTGTTTATATAGATCAAAGTTGTGGTTTTGAAATTTCTCCTGGGGGTTCAAAGTATTGGATCCCTGAATGTTCACCCGAAAAGAAACCTCTTGTTGGGATGATATTTGTGAATCTAGATGCTGCCTTTAAGTTTTACAAAGACTATGCAGCTGAGTTGGGGTTTACTATACGTCATCATACATCAAAGAAGGCGAGAGATGGGCATATTTTGATGAAGTATATTGTATGTAGTAGAGCTGGTTTTAAGAATAATGCTTGTCCTCCTGTTTCGGATACCAATGTTGCTGGTTCTGAAGGTTGCCCAACAAATAGGAAAAGAGTGTCTAATAGGACGGATACCAATGTTGCTGGTTCTGAAGGTTGCCCATCAAATAGGAAAAGAGTATCTAATAGGATTGGATGTAAAGCCATGTTAACTCTGAAATATTCTGGATTTAAAGGGTACTCAGTTTTTGCATTTGAACAACGCCACAATCATTCGATGTGCTCTGAATTATCCAAACAATTTCTAAAGGTGAACATAAATTTAGACCTTGGACATCAGAAGTTTGTTTTAAATTGTTTTAGAGCAAATATTGGCACAATGAAGTCATATCGGCTATATAAGGAGACTGTTGGGGGATATTCTAATATTGGTGCTACAGCTGTGGATTTCAAGAATTTCAAGCGTGATCTTATGGCTTATATAGCTGGTGTTGATGCCCAAATTGTCATTGACAAATTATTCAGGAAGCAAGAGGTGTCTTCTGCTTTCTTTTTTGACTATGATGTGGATGATAGTGACCAGTTAACAAGGTTGTTTTGGGCTGATCCTATTTGCCGCAAGAATTATGCATTGTTTGGTGACGTTGTTTCATTTGATGCTACCTATGGAACGAATAGGTTTGTTTCTGTTATATTCTGTTTTTTGGGAATTCGACTTTATATATTTTGTGTTTTTGTTGCACTACACAGAATAATAACTTGCATATTTCTTTGTTAGCTTATGCACCAAACAGTTTATTGTTGCTTAACATAGTTTCCTTCTTATATATTCAGGTACAATATGGTGTTTGAACCTTTTACGGGCGTTGATAATCACAGAAAGTGTGTCACTTTTGGAGCTGGATTATTATTGAAGGAGGATGTGGAGTCATACGTTTGGCTTTTTACTTGTTTTATAAATGCTATGGGACGTCAACCAACATGCATTATTACTGATCAAGATCCAACGATGCGTATTGCCATCGAGAAGGTATTTACATCATCCAAACACCGCTATTGTATGTGGCATATTATGTCCAAAGTCACTCAAAAGGTTGGCCCAGTTTTAAGCAAAAATGAAACATTTATGTCTTCATTGAATTCAATAGTTTGGAGTCATTACCTTGAACCATCTCAATTTGAAGAAAAGTGGATCTCTCTCATGAACGAATACGAATTGACAAAACATGATTGGTTTGTCCATATGTTTGAGTTGCGCTATTGGTGGATACCTTCTTATTTTAGAGATCTATTTATGGCTGGATTACTTCGTACAACATCACGGTCTGAAAGTGAGAATTCCTTTTTCTGTGAATTTACTAACCCACATTTCAGTTTAATAGAATTTTTAATGCAATTTGAGAGTGCAATGGATGCACAAAGGCATGCACAAGATAAATTGAATTCAGAGTCAGAGTCCTACCTTCCAGTTTTGAAGACTCCTTTATCTATGGAGAAGGCTGCGTCTGATGTATTCACACTCGCTGTCTTTTATGATATTCAGTCGGAATTGTGTTCAACGTGCTTTTCATGTCGTGTTTTGCATGTGCATGGTGTTGATGGTGATTTTGAGTATGAAATTTCTGATGATCGTAATTTGGTGTTTAGAGTTGACTTGAGCATGTCAAATATGAAGGCAGTGTGCAGTTGTAAGTATTATGAGCGGATTGGCATGGTTTGTAGACACATATTTTTTGATCTAAAGGACTTGAAATTGGAACACATTCCGAACCATTTGGTTAGTAGCAGATGGTGCAAGAAGGGTCTAGTGAAGCCACTCACTGAAATTTCGGATTCCGTATTAGAACAGACTTCATTGTTGGAGGACAATAAGATGTCTGTTAACACTCTTTGGTCTGACATATATGCTTGTATGGCCCTTGTTGAAAATAATCCCAATTATTTGAAGCAATTTTCAGGTATAATTAAACAGCAAAAGCAAATTCTACTTTCTCTACATGAAGGTGTTGGTCAGTGTTCAACAAAGAATTCATTAATTGAATCATTTTATGGTTCTGGTGTGCCATCTGAAGTCACTGTTCATCCCCCGCAGCAGGCGAAAAATAAGGGTTCTGGACGTAGGCTTAGGTCTTCCAAGGAAGTTTCAATGGAAGAATCCCAACGCCCCAAAAGACTTTGTAGATCATGCAATGAGATGGGGCATCACGATAGTAGAAATTGCCCTTTGAATAAATAGGCTTGCTTGAAGTTAAAGTATATGTTTGCAATTTTTGTTGTTTGACATTACTATGACGACTGTCTGTTGGAAATTAATATAGTTTTATGTTATTGGTTTTGTAGTGTATGTTTTCAAAGTTTTGTTATTATCATTGGGTTTATTAGTGCACGTTTACCATTTGCATTAATGCTCATTTATGCATCATTGTATCCCATGTACTGCATATTTCAGTCTTCAATATCACCTTATAGACCATATAATCTTTAATATAATCATATTCATCACAAAGTTGGATTTTTATAAGAAACATTTTTATAAATTCATGTTAACACTATTAACACACTAGATTGCGCTTATATTTTATATATTCCAAAAAAAATGAATGGTGCATATTATAACTCATCGGAGTGCATCTTACAGGTAATGAAGTTGCATGTAAGGATGCATAGTCCTGCTATACTATATACACAAGAAATGAAAAATGATGCATACTATAGCTCATTGCAATGCATTAAACAAGGTATAAATATGCATATGAACTGAAAATAAAACTTCATTCCACGTAAAATAAGTGTTTGGATTTCACATTCCCACACAAAACATTCAATATTGATACGATGCATCCTAACATATGTTTCCGTACCAATCTCATGTAAGAACTTCAACACGTGTCCACCCACACAAAAACAAACGACACAATAAATTTTTCAGCTCAAACTTAACAAAAACCAAGTGTTTGAGATAACAAATCCCCTCTATGCTGCATTCAACCTTTCTGCTTTAGTTATCTTTGCAAATTGTTTGGCATTCATCATGATTTCTTGCATAAGGTCATTGCTTTCGTGTAGTAAAATGGCTGCACCATACTTTCTTCTTAATGCACCAAGTTCTTTGCTACCCTGTCTGTTCAATCCTATACTCCAACCCAGCAACCCTTCCCCACGATAAGTCTCCATATGTCGCATTGCCAAGACCCCATAGTCATACACATCTTTGGGATCTCTCCAAGACATGGGTAGTCTCTTACCCTTCAACTTGCGCACTGTATTTGCTTTTTGTAACATTTTCTTTGACTCCAAGTATTTCACAAACATACCAATCTGGAACACAGTTTTAGAATAGCTTTTATTATATGAATCTCACTCAGTTGTAAGAATACAGACATTATTAATATATATATTACATATATAACTAAAATCAAGTTTTATTACCACTTTTTCTGGCATGTCTCCATACTTGTTTGCGTTTGATACCCCGGCTGATGAGCTATCGAGAATATCCACACGTTTTAGCTTGGTATTCACACATATGATGTATGCATGATGATATTGCATTATTGAAAAAAAAACTGCACCACATTTTCGTGTTAGAACTTTTACATATATAACACCATATATTCAATTCTTTATGACCCTTACATATATTGACCCTTACCAGATCAATATGTGCTACTGCAGTATGTTGTTGGACCAATGCCCATCCAAAGTCAAGTGCTGCTTGAAACAGTGTGTATGCATCCTTAGCATTTAAACCAAGATCAACCTGGGTGTCTAGCTGCACACCAATTCAATTGCATTAGTAACAAATATAACAATTATTTTGTGTATATAATTTAACTGGACACAAAACTGTCTCTTTTCTTAATTTGCACTCACACAAGGGTATGGCTTTGCAAATAATCGGGCAGGAGAATCACTGCTTCTATCTTTTTCAATCACATTGAGAATGAAAGACCATGCATTTAGTACAGCAGCTGAAATATGGCACTTTTCTTTTAAACTCACCATCTCATCACGTGTAACTTGCAACCAGAATGCCTTTTTGAACACGATCTTATTCCTGTTAACATGCAATACAATTAGTTGTACCATGCAATCAAAAAAAGGATGTTGTAATTTCAATTTCTTTTCAAACCAACTTCATTGTGTCTTACACAAAATAACATGACCAATAACATCCATTATAACTACAATCACTTACCTATCAGCCTTCTTGTTTATAAATAACCATGCAACTGCAGCACGCTCATTAGCATTGAGACCTTTAAGAGGATCGATAAGCCTTTTTAAGTAGGGTGACTTCAATGTTGCAGCTACTCTTTGAATTCTCTTTTCTTCTTGCACCTTTGCTATTGCATCTGATGCCTGTACATACTGCGATTTTCATCAAATTATATTGACACAATTTTAATGTAAGATGACCATACCGCATTTTCAATATGTTGCTCATAATAATTCTACCTCTTCTTCATGCAAGTTGTCTGCATTATTATACACCTCGACTGCATCTTTACTCATCTCTTGCTGCACATAAAACATCACTTCAATGTTTTTCACAATAAATTAACTATTAATTAATTTATAAAAGAAAACTTTATTTCTTCTATTATTACCTCTCTTTCTTTCTCAAATGGATGAATCTCCATATCTGCTTCATGCAAATTGTCTGCATTATTATCTACCTCCACTGCATCTTTACTCATCTCTTGCTGCACATAAAACATCACTTCAGTGTTTTTCACAATAATTTAACTAATAATTAAATTATATAAAAAAACTTTATCACACTCTCTATTATTACCTCTATTTCTTTCTCAAATGGATGAAACTCCAATACAGCAGCCTCTCTTGTATTCTCTTCCGCAACCGTGTTAACACCGCTGCCCGTATCTTCATATCCATTTTCTTGAGTCAGTCCTAGACTGAAGCTGGGCTTGTCATCCATCTTCTTTATGTATTGCGATCTTCTCACAAAGACAGACTCCATCTGCACCAAAGCTTGGATGTTTCTTGGACTTGACCAAAACTTTTCAACCTCTTCATCATAAAACTGCTGCTCCGGTGTTGCTGCATTTGTTTCAGCATTTTGTGCTTGCTTTTGGGCTACCCCAAGTAGCTTATTAGTAGCCTCCACAATTTTCTTGAAGTTTTCATTTCCTTGCAGCACTTGTGGAGCTTCTTCTACCATATTCATTATTTCAATTGTTGTCGTAGCTAACAACTTTGTTTTCACAGCAAATCTTTCCAGAAACTCCTGCATTATAAGACATATTAGATTCATTTTTAAAAAATGCCATCTATGAATTATTAGTTTACCTCTTGTGTGTTTTCCCTTCTTGATGTTTCACCGTTCTGTGCACCTTCCACTTCTAATTGGTGCACCTTATTTTGATCAGCACTCATTTCTTCTACTGTCAATCCCCTCTTCTGCATCTTCTCATCCAAATATCCGAGACCAAAACCGCCTGCTTTTATTTCTTCTATTTTCTCTTTCCCTAAGTAATTGTGATGTCCATCCAATTATAGCAGGCCAGTTCCTTACTACTTTCCTTCGATACAATAATACCATCCTATCAACATAAAGAACCTGCAAATAAATATGAATAACAACCATGTTAGATGTCATATGCAATTACTACTTCTCACTCCCAACATTATATATCACAAACTTACCACTAAGAACAACAATGGACCAGTGAAAGCTTTGTCTTTACCTTCTTCCCATTCCAATTTCTTATTCACTAGAGCGGTTATGACATATTCACACCAGTTCATATTTTTAATTGATTTTGTGTCTTGCAAGCAATTTATGAACTGATAGTTTATATACCTGCTCTTTGTGTTCTCAATCAATGAAGATATCAATAAGATGACAAAATGCCTCACAAACCATTCACCACCATTCGTGCAGCTTATCATTGCTTTGGCCACTTCGGTTGGAGTAATTTTTTCCTTTGCACCAAATAAAGCCCTCCACTCATCTGCCAGAGCACTTTTCTCTTTTTTCAGTTTCTTCACTACAGTTTCTTCTCCTCGAGGGAATCCTAGTGCATTCTCAACATCCTCGTCTGTCACATGAAGTTTGTCACCATTCAGCTTTAGTGTGCAACTCCTTGGGTCAAAGTTATCACATTTGGTGATGATCTGTTGTACAAACTTGTATATTCTTCCTTGATCTCCTTATAATCACCTTTCTTGTGTTGCTTCTTTCTTTGATGTTTAACTGCACCACCTACATTTTGTAAAGACTTAGGAGGACTTTCAAAAGCTTCGTCACTGTCACTCATAGTATTTTTTGTCTTCAACTGTTCATCATCATTTTGTGATTTTTCTGCATGATCATCACTTTTTGACTGCATCATGCTCCTAGTCCTCCTTCTCATGGTCAGTGATAGTATTTCACTATGTTTCACACCTACATGGTTACCATTACACATTTATATCAGTACATAACAATCTGAATTTATGATATTAAAATTCACAAAGTTAAACTTGAATTTGTTAACTTGCCTTTGCCTCTCACTTCTTTTCTTTGTGCATCATCATGCTGCATATTCATCATAGGAGCGTCTCTTTCTAATTAATGTAATAGAACAATTAAAATTATACTTACACAATTACAAATGAATCTTATACGTAAAAAGTTAGTTTTTTAACCTTTGCTCTTTTTCGTCTTCCCTTTACCCTTGGGAAAAGGGGCAAATAAGGCCACGTACTAACCAAAAAAGATCAAATAAGGCCTTATTTATGAGGCTCTGTCCGGCCATCGCCATTTGGGGTGGTTTTCGGTAGAATTTTTTGATGAATTGTTTTTGACCATCTTATTCATTAAGTCTAGTTTACTCATACCGAATTTCAGATAAAAATTTAATCTAGAAGGCATTCAAATGAATTCTTGAAGATAACTGCGCTTTTAACTGCACAATTATCTTAAAGAATTCATTTGAATGGCTTCCCGATTGAAGTTTTAGCTTAAATTTGGTATGAGTAAACTAGACTTACTGAATAAGATGCTCAAAAAAGTTCATCAAAAAATTCCAGCGAGAACCAACCCAAATGGCGAAGGCTGGACAGAGCCTCATAAATAAGGCCTTATTTGAACTTTTTGTGTTAGTACGTGGCCTTATTTGCCCCTTTTCCCTTAATTTAGGCTAACATCTTATGAGAAATGGGACTGAAAAAATTAGGAATTGGGATCTAACAATCAACATTCAGTTTAGGAATAACTAATTTCAGGTATAATCGAAAGGC